TTACACTTCACTTCCTCTGCATTCGAAGTCATAATGCCTGGAAATATTTTTGAAAGAAAGCATATAGGCTACAACTAAATACTGTGTAACTCTAATTCTAAGTGTTAAAGCTTTCTCAGTTAAAGCAAGCATTGTGTAGTATAAGGTACATTTCCTCATAGGGGAGGTCTTACTAAATATTTAAATTGTAATCTTGACACTATGTTAGCTGTGATATGCAAACTTAATGTTTTAAAGATATACTTAAGGGTGTTAAGAGAGATTAGTTGATTTTAAGGTGGCCAGAAGATAAATTAAAGGAATCCAATTGCTTTTTTATTGAAGGGGATAAGGATCAATGTTTAGAAAAAGAATTTTGAAAAGGAAAAGGCCAAGCTGTCATTCCCCTAGAGATCCCATTATTTAATACATCTACTTTGTTTTTCAAACATTTGCTTTTAAAGTGTTTTAGAATTGATCAGAATCCCATTGTGCTGGAAGACAAGGCAAAATTACAGTGCCAGCAGAGCCCATTTACTCATGCAAAGGTCCAGTAACACACTGTAAGGGAGGAGTGTGTGTTCCCCAGCAGTGTCGAGATGGCTGTAAAATATCCTGTCCTTCCAATGACTCTCTTTGAGCAGAAATACTTTTTTTTTGGTGTATCTAGTAACGATAGGCTGTGATCATTGTGTACTGCAGGTCTTTTACTTCTGAGCATGGTTTCAGGATTAGTCCCTAAGTTACGTCCCTTTAATCACAGAATCACAGAATCACAGAACGTTAGGGATTGGAAGGGACCTCAAAAGCTCATCCAGTCCAATCCCCCTGCCGGAGCAGGAACACCCAGATGAGGTTACACAGGAAGGCGTCCAGGCGGGTTTTGAATGTCTCCAGAGAAGGAGGCTCCACAACCTCTCTGGGCAGCCTGTTCCAGTGCTAATGAATAATGAAATAAGAAGCAAGGCAATTAGAGGTTAGATGCTTGAGAGTTCAGTGTTTTAATACCCAGTGTCCGAGTGGTTACCCTTCAGTATGGGACCACAGCTCAGCTCTTTGGTATTGAAGCTCCCTGTGCTCCACAGTCACAGTCCAGAGCCCACTTCTTAAGGCAGGCGCATAAACCTTCCTTTTCAAGAGCAGAGCATTGGTCACTCTTCCTCTTAAAGATCTTTTTTGTAAAGATCTGCTGCTGAATGGGTTTTCTGAAATTTACACGTTAGTTTAACAGCTAAGGAACACACCAGGACACTGGAGAGCTGAAGCTGTTCAGTAATTGCTGCCTCTGAGCTGTAGCTTAGCAGACAGCACCCTGGTCCTTTGCTTAGGTGAGACCGTTTGACTGTATAGAAAGTAATTCCAAGATTCATAGTCCAAAGAGACCGTGCACAGGTAGCATACCAAGTGTTGTATTAACTAGCCATCAGGTACATGAACAATCACTCATGGGTTTGGGCCTGGCCCTGGCCCAACCTTTCCATCCCTTTTCCTTCTCAACATGCTCTGCACTGATACTCCATTTTCCTTTTGTTCTGGACACCTTGCTTGGAAGAACACCAGGTTTCAGGCTGCCAAGGAGACCTGAAAGACATGAAGTTAAACAGGCATCACAAACCTCTGTAACATCTGGGTGTGTGCAGAAGTGGCCTTTATGCTAGGGGAACTGTGAAGAACTTTTGATTTGAGGACCAGTCGAAGACAAGGGCACAGGAGTCATTTATAAGGTCCTGGTTTCTCCATTGAAAGCAGCTGTTTCTCAGTCAACAGACAGGAATTGGTCACTTCTGTGTCCCTGTGCTCTTGAAGGGAGCAGAATGAACAGGTGTAACTGGGACTGCTGGTGACTGTATTGTGTTGCATGCCAACGTGTACCTGTCGAGACTGCACATCGCATCCCCTGCTTTTGTTTTCTAGCCCTGGGGAATCTGGCACCAGTTCCCAGAGCAGACCCAAGATGGCTGTATCAGGCACCAGTGCTCCCTGTACGTTACTCTCAAAAGCTGGGTTCTTTGTGATGGGATCCCATCTCTTGTTCTGGGAGTCATTAACTCATAAGAAGAATCTGCTTGAGCAGTGATTGAGTGCACAAGTGTTTTCAGACCTGCACGGTTTTTTGCTCTCTTTCTTTTCCTTTGTTCTGACTGGTGAACACTTTAGTTACCACATTAAAAGTGGAGTAGTGTCAGCAAGAGGCTGTGCTGCTTTGAGGACTTCCCCAGAGGCTGGCTGGCAAGGGTTGCGCAGCTGTGAGATGGAGAGCGTAGGCAGTTAAACACCGAGTGCTTTCCAGCAACTGCAGCAGTGGGGCACACTCCTCAGTTTTGGGATGGGTAGCTCAGTGCTGCAGTTTCATTTGCATCTCCAGCACCTCCCTTGTATATCACCACTATTGGCAATTGAAATGGATGTAGCACTATAAAACAGCAAGAAGACCTCAGTGGCTTCTCTTCAGCTATTTCCACTTTGTGGGGAGGACCTGTATGTGTGGAGCAAAGCATGCTGCTAGACACTGGCGTGCTTCTGCTGCTGTTTACTGTCCAAAATATAAAGACTGAAACTGCTGTGATTTTGAAGGATCCGTGGCTATGGTTTTGTGAGATGTGTTTTGTTGAAGGTTTTTTTTCCCCAGTAAACTAATATGGAACTTGTTGCCTCAGGAGAGCAAGTCAAATGAATTTATAAGAGGCTGTCATATAGCAACATTTCAGCCTTACGCTTAGGGGAAATTAACTGCAAGGATGAGGAAGCAGAGCCATGTATCTGCAGTGGTTGTGGCTGGATTTCTCATCTTACTGCTTTCCTCTGAAGCATTAAATACTGACTACTGCTGGAGACAGGTGCAATCATGTATGTGCTTCTCAGAGCCTTTGCTTCCTAAGAGGTGAATGAGCTCCATTATTATAAAACTTCTGTTCTAGTCCTTGCAATTAAGTAATATCATAAAAAATGTTGTATAATGTATCCGTGGTTTCTAGTTTTGACTTACAAAGGTAAGTTTAAACCTGCCCGTAACTCGCTCCTGTCTGTGCTCACAGACAGTGTAAATTCTTTGTCAGCAGAACAAACCAGGTCGTTACAACTGACTTTCTGTTGCACTGGGATAAAACCAAATTCTTGGCACCTCAGTCCCAGGGTTTCCTGTAGACAGATTTCAGTGTTTGCTGAATTTTGATTTTGAATTAGTCCTACAGACTCTAACCTGATGAGCCCGTCTTGTTTGTCTGGTTGGTTTTGGTAGCTTTCAGCTTCCTATGCCCCCTCTTACCCTGTTCTAGCTTCATAGCAGGCCAAAAGTTGGTTGCAAATCCCTTCACACTGTCTGTTGCTTTGTTTTTTCCAGGAAGGAAACTGGTTTTGAGTCTTGAAGGGAGCTGTGAGATACATAGGGGAGGTACTGAAACTGCTTGGTACTAGACCATGTGTGAGCAAAGATATCAGAGAGTCTGCTGAAGTGCTTACAGGGTGAGAACATAACAAAGATGCAGGCTAAGGACAGCATTCGCTGGCTTCTGCTGCCAAGTGGCAGGGTACCATTCTTGTCCACAGTAGCTAAACTGTCAGCATTTTGCCAAAATCTGGGTGCCCTCCTCCAGCCTGCCTGCTGGAAATGGTTCTGGCAGTCGCTTCATCCTGCGTTATCCAGGAGAGTGCAAGGTGACCTGGGCCAAAACTCTGAAATGTGCTAATTGTTAAACAGTGTGGTCGTTGTACACCCAGCATATGTTAGCTTCGTGACAGACCTTTTTCTTTAAGCATATAACCATAGCAGTGTTGGCTGGAAGGGGGCTCTGGAGGTTATCTAGTCCAACTTCCTGGATGGAGCAGAATGCAGCTGGCTTGGAATTAATGAGGCTTAAAGGTAGCTTCAGGGATTTAAAAAGTTCTGGTTCACTGAGCAATGCAGCTTGGTGGGTTGGGGTTTTTGTTTTGTGGTTTTTTTGTTGTTGTTGTTTGTTTTTTTTTCCAGTGGAGTTTGGCAGAACCCTGTGGTAGGTCCATAGCACTAGCTTGTGTGTCCTACTCGGCAAGTCTAGCATGTCATCAATCCTAGGCAAGCTTTTTGGCTGCGTAAGTGTCAGCACTGCTGCCTCTGCAGCGCTGTGGGCGGCATGGTGGCAGCTGTGTGTCCTCTGAGCAGCTCCAGCTGTCCTTGATCTCTCCTGAGGTAGTTAAGGGTACACTTTCTCCTCAATTATGTGCAATTCGTGTTGTGTTTCCACCTCTGCTGCTAAAATTCTGCTTGAATGCTTGGCTTTATAATCTTCTGCTCAGCCTTAGGAGTATATTAAATTAATATTAAATAATATTAGTATATTATTTCTTAATGTGGGAAGGAGAGAGTTTGGGAGGCAATTGGTGTCTCTGACTGGAGTGGGGAATTTCTGAATTCCAGGTATTTATTGAGCACTGAATTGGTATATGGTCTTTGTGACTTCTTTGTCTTTTATCTTTCTGTAACATTGGAATTATCAGATGTATTTCTTATAGGGGTGATGAGACCACTGATTAGATCACATATATTTGAAAATGGAAACTGTAGTGTTCGAAATTACTTTTTCTCACTGAATTTCATCCTTGATTGTGAACATTTCTTCCTCCTGTGACAGCCAAGGGAGGAACCGAGTGAGGGTGTTTAAAAAGAAACTCCCATTTTTCCCTTGTTCAAAATTTCACAACATAACCTAGGAATCAGCAATGCTATTGACATTGAAATGGGAAGACTTTTCCCTGAAAGCAGTGTTACACGTTATTCTAGCAAAATAACCATCTCCATACATGTCAACTTAGAGTATGACTCAACACTTCTGTCTTTCTTTCATTCTTTCTTATGGCTTCACTGTCTTCTAATTAATTGTATCTAATCTCATACCAAATGTTTTTTCAAGACCAGAAGTGGCAACTTACTGGTACTTCTGAGTAAAAATGACTTTGCAGATGATGACTGCGTATTCTGCAGTTGGAGGTTTCAGTGCCTCATTGCCTCTGTTCCCGTTACAGGTGCATGTGACAGCATTGCAGCGATGAGTGGAATTTTAAAGAGGAAGTTTGAAGAAGTTGATGGCTCCTCACCTTGTTCCTCTGTGCGGGAATCAGATGATGACATTTCCAGCAGTGAAAGCGCTGACAGTGGTGATAGTGTCAATCCGTCCACTTCTAATCATTTTACCCGTGAGTACTGAAGTTGTGTGTCTACAGAATTCTTCCTGATCCTCAAAATACAATTAATTTTATGGTTAGATAGACTTGATGTTTTTAACAGATGTTTGAACGATGGACTCTTAGCGGTGTTCAGTTTGTGACTTGCTCAGAACGACTTAGCAGTCTTGCACCCTTTTGCTGTCTTGTTAACGATGTAAAACTATTTGTCAAATATTTGAAGTCACTTGGAAGCCCCTACCTATTTGCTATTCAAATTATGTCGTTGTTTGTAGTTAATGTTGGGAATTGTGCTTAAGGTATTTCAAACAATTACCACAGGGGAGGTGCTTTAGATAAGTTTGTTTGCTTTCCTTAGATAAGTGTAGTGCAGTTGCCAGCTATCTGCAGTATTGTATTGGTGATGCTGGTGATTGGTGGTATTTCTTTTCCAAAGAAAATAATAATGAGCTTTCTTTTGTTTGAAATTATGAATGGAACACATTATTGCAATGCTTTCTATTCTTCATGTAGGGGAGAGTATCTCTGTACTAGGCAGTGTTTTTTTGTGCACATAAGAACTTGGTTAACAAGACTATGTGTGCAGCAGATATATCTCGGAAGAATGGATTTATGGTAGTTTTATGCTATTTGTTTAGGTGGCCATACTGTTTTAATAGTGAACTGTATGTTGTCAAAAGCAGGGGTTCTCCTCCTTCAACTCTGTTGTGTATAGATCTCCCCACTGGAGCTAGTGGCTGTAAAGCTGTTTTCTTAACATTGTGGACCAAAGAGTAAGTGAGGCTCCTCATCAGTGCCCATACACAATGGGATCCTTGTAACTGTGGTTTAGGTTGTGCCTAGAAATTGTGTTTGTAGCATATGGTATGAATGTTCTTGTATTGATTCGTCTGCCAAATGCCACTGTGCAGTTTGAGCTCGGGTTTGGACATGAGGGTCCAAACCCTCTTTGCTCTGGTATGAAACACTCCTGTGCAAAGGGTTACACAGGCACAACTTTTCAAATGGGTTTACATGTAGCAAGCTTGATGTGTTACGTTATATTTAAGATGCAGGACTAGTCGGGGACCTATTTTATTGAAATGCCACAAAAGAGTAAGTGACCCAGTAGATCCCTTTGGTAATATTAAGAAATGGTTTGGTGATAATATCATGTGTGTGCTGATCTTTTAACTTCTGCATCTGTTTAAGGACTTGGATGATTATTCATCATAGACTGAAAGCAGTGCTTTTACATCAAACAGTCATTGCCACCCACATACAAGACAGCAATTTTATTGGGAATACACAGATCATACAAAGAAGGCTCGTAATTCAGGGGAAAAACTTGGAAGTTGTAATACATGTATGTAACAATAAGCTTTGATTGTAGTTGACACAATAAGTAATTTAGTTTTTTAATAAAATCCCTAAGGGAAACTACAGCGTTTCAGTGTTATGATTAATGATCCATATAACTGAGATATTTGTGGTCAGATTAATAAATGTTTATTTGTGTGCTCACTCACACATACACGTATATAGAAATAGTATGTTACTTTTTAAAAAATACATATATACAGATATCATTTGACAAAACAGAAATAGAGTGAATTGTTTGCACTTTTAAAAAAATACTGTCTTTAACATAGATGCAGCAGCCTGAATTCCAATACATCAGTACAGAATAATCCCAGTATTCTATTAGGAAGAAAATATAAGTATACAAGGAAGAAAAGAATTGAACATTGGTGTCACATTTGAATAGGCAAATCTCAAGGTCCTCAAGGAATAGACTTTTGGAAACTGGTTTCTATGCCACTGGAACGTGGCCTCTTTCAGTGTAATGTTCTACTTTGCTCTTACTGTGATGCAGTGTACTTGCAGGAGTTTGATAAATGTGATAGATGATTCAATCTCAAATAGAATTTTGTAATTAAAGGTTATAATTTATTAAAAGAGTAAATGCAAGCAAACAGCGCTGGGTGCGTGTGGAGTCTGCGCTCTGCCTGCGCACACTGTACAATTCTTTTTCCGGGTTTATATTTCTTTAACTAATACATATTAATTAAATTTCTCAATATGCCTATACATATGCATAACCTATCCCCGCTTCATATTATAATTAGTTTTCCTCCTATTTGCACTTGTGCAGTATCTTCTGTTGGTGGTCGTCCTTATCTTCTTGCGCAGATTCAATTACTTCTTGGTTTTGTTTTTTTTAAAAAACAGCAGGACCGGTGTTACCGATTTCTGAAAAAAGTTCTTAAGCAACTCTTTACATTGTGTTTCACTTCCTCCCCATCTGGTTTTCTTGTAAAGACAAACAAGATAACCCCGAAGGTCACTGGTCACTCCTTCCTCATGATCTCAACATTGTTTTTCATGACCTCAACATTGTTTTTTCCCAACACGAATCAGACTGACATATCTCACAATAAAGGTGGTAATTTTTTATTGGTAAGAAAATAGAGGATGTTGATGCTCAGATGAAGTATAGAATGGAAAGGTGACTTTATCCCTGTCTTATTATTTGCATCTTGCACCCAGACTCTATTCTAGTGTACATCGTTATTTTGTAAGTTTACTAAGGACACTTCATGTTGCACCTCATTGGAAAGTCAGATTTTCTTAATTTATTGTTAAAATGCTGCAAGTGAGATTTTTCACCTCCTTCTTCTTTCTTAATATTAAAGTATGTAATTTACTTACATGTTTATGCAATCAACATCTACCTGTTGAGCACTGTTAGAAGAACCACTCTGCCTTAGGCACATCTGCTATACATAAGAGCACCTCTGCACTAAAAGGGTGAGTCTTAGTGAGGGTGTATGATAGTAAAATTTAATGTGTTCACAGGAAAAATGAATCATGTTTATATTTAAAATAAATGCAAAGAAGTAAAGGCAGATGCTGAAAGATGTTTTTAACTCGATAACTCTAGAAAAAACAGAGGTTTTGTTGAGATTGGATTTTATTTAGTTTTATTCTTCTCACATTTCCTTGAGTCTTCCTGTGCTTTGATTCTGGAAGGTGTTTTAAATGGAAAATTGGTGATTTTTTTATACACACAGGCTTTGTTTTCATTTTGGTTTCTATCAGTTGGTTGACATCAGTTGTGTCTGTGTGATGTTGAATGCACTACAGGCCAGGATCACTTTTCTTTGTATGTGCTTCTATTTTTATTTTTTTTTAAACGTCTAGATTTTTAAAACAGTACTATTTGAAAAAAGCCTATTTTGAGTTCTAGGAAGTGATAAAAAATGAATTGATCCTACTGAGCTACTTGGCCTTGTCTTGTTAAAGCAGAATGTGTGGAAGTTGTCAGTGTTCGTACTTCATGAATGCATGTGTCTTACAGATCTAAGTCATGCTTGCTTGAAAGTTTCATGCAGATGTGTTGTACAGTAATGCAACTGTTAACAGCGTACATTGAAAGGTGTTCATTCTTTAAGCACATTTATCTCCCAAAATAAAAGATAAGAGCTTTCCTGTGTTGAATATTTGAATCCGTGCTTTTAAGGGCCTATGGAAAGGAAGAGTTCTGTGAGATTTTTTCAGTAAACAGACTGGAATGAGTCAGTGCAGAAGAAAGACTGGCCAGATTCCTTGCCTTCCTTACATGCCCGAGTACCCCCTGGGTGGAGGTTATCTTCCTAAGCCGTGTCCTGACACTTTGAACCATTTTCTTGTCTCTTTTGTTAGACACTGACAGATCCTGTGTGCTGTCTTCCTTCAGGTCTGTTGTCATATAAATAAGTATCAAGTTCAGTATAGACTCATTTACTGACTGGAAATGTGCAGGTTGTGGGTAACCTGTAGTCAACACTGAGATCTATACATTAATTCTTTAACTGAGCTTTTTAAAAAAAGCCTAACATGGCCCTCTAAGTCTCATTTTTCCTTTCTAATTGTCCTGACAGCAAGCAGAAGTTTGTGTATACATCTATCTAGAATAGCTGATGCATCTCGGTATTTACACAAGCCTTGAAACAGTAAGTATACGGTCAGATAAACAAGAACCTTTCGGCGATCCTGCTCCATTAGCCTCAAGGTCAGTTTAACCTGCCAGCTAAGTGAGACACAGCTGGTGTGGAGTACTCAGGTGGGGCAGAACCACCAAAGAGAGCTTCGATCTCAGCAATTAATGCTGTAGTGTGATGGCAGAAATACATGACTGAGGTGTTCCTAAGTGCTATCTGTTATGACTATTACACGGGGTTACGTACAGAGTTTCTTTAACAATATTTCCATTTAAATAAGTCAAGACAGTGACAAAACAGCAAAAAAACCTCACAAACCCCAAACTAAATCCCTTGCCTAAGTTATAGACATCTTTTTCTGAGTCAGGAAATGAAATCACAGTCCATAAAGCATAGACTACTGTTCATAACCAAAAAATAAATAAATGTGGTATTTTCTTGGTCAGGTATGTGCGTATATACATCTGCACATTTTAAAACCTTCTATCAAATGGTGATGGAGTGTCTTCATTACCACTGGCAGATATAATCCCTACCACATTTTTTACTTCCTTTTCTCAGTCTATTGAGGTCATTTCACTTTGGTTCAGCAAATGCCGCAGATCTGCCTTAATGGATGCCAAAGCGTATTAGTAACTGTTCCACGTCCTGTCCCATTTCGTGGCCCCTCCTCCATGTTGGAAAGAGGGATGTTCATCTTCAGGTAGCGGTGCAAGCATGCATATACAGTATTAGTCAGGACTTAGAATATTTTTTTCCTTAGAGGTACATGGAATACAGGGCAGGAGCACACCCAACGCCATTTCAGCTCCTTCCAATTGCCCTGTTGAGCTCCGGCACTCTGCTGCTGTGTTTCATCAGCTCCACAGCAAGTTGCCTTTGCAATTGCCGTTGAGGATGTCAGCACGACATCCTGACAGTTCCTACGATCGTGTGTGCTGGGTTCCACACTTCAGGTGTGGGGTATTCTTGCCTTGTGGAGGTACCCACCCCTAAATAAATGTAAGTTGCAGAATTGCACGCAATTGAAAGAAAGGAAGACCTCATAAA